ATACTGGTGACAAAGAAATTAAACTAATTAAACTAATGAGGTAGCACAAACCATCAAGAAATAAGCATAATCCATCAAATAAAATACAAGAGTGATCAATTAAGCACCATGCATTGACCAACACTTGATCCATTATTTTAATACACATAGACATGCATCAAATGTAAAGAATCAAGTGTAAACTCATAATCATCCATTCCATCACACATAGACATATGGATAGAATTGAAAGATTAATTGGAAACATTAAACCATATAAATCATGTAGAAACAAGATTTATATAAGCACGAGATCAATACAATAATTACCTTACAAATCTCCACTAATTACAAAGTATTAAAGTTTAGGAGGCAAGCCTAGGGCTATCTCTAGTCCCAAGAGAATGGTCTAGTCACTCATGGTTGTTGTCATCCAACTCTCAAGGGCCCTCTTCATGGTCGAGTTCATCTTCCTCCTCTTGGTGTTCTCGATAGAAACCCTAGAATTGGAAAAATCCTCCCCAAAATGTGTATATTCTCTCTCTAATCTCTAACCACTATATCTAACTAACTAACCTCTTTACTAAAAATAGTCAAATCATTTATATAAGTAGCTCAAATGTCACCCCAAATGGTTAGACCTTGTGCACTAGAACCTCCAAATGATTGCACCATGAACACACCTTCAATTGGGCTTTAAATCAGTTTTGCACGATTTTTGAGGCAGTTCGATCGATCATACTGTTGCTTCAATCGATCGAAGTATGGAGGCGCACTTATTTGGATAAGGACAAAGGCTGAGATATTTACGGGGAAAAAAACAAAAGTGGTTATGAGGATAAGATTAAGGGGTTCGATCGATCGAAGAAAAGATTAGATTGATCGAAGAGGAAATTTTTCCTAAGGATAAAGATAAAAGCTCGATCCATTAAGGCATGTTTGGAACGATCACAGCGTGATCAATCATAGCATGGTTCGATCAATTAAACAGGGATAATTTCCATCATTTTGCTTCGACTTTGTTCCTTCTTTTCACTAGACTTTTGATTGCTTCCTCCAATGCTCTAATTCAGCTGATTTGGCTTATTTTAGGACTAAGTACTTAAAAAGGAGAAAAACATAAAATTAGACTAAAGTGAAAAAATAAGATAGAATAATGTCTTAATATTCTCAAGATTAAAAGTTTAAATGTGCACTTTTTTTTAGTGCTTATCAAATCCGCTTCACACTTGTTCCTCTCTTTGGATGGTTCTAATTAAAGACTTCTATAGACAAAATAACAAATCATAATACAATTCGGCAAAGTGTGAAATCCTAATACAACGCTGACGACCTAAAAATAAAATAAATTTATTTAACTTATAAACACAATAAATAATTAGTAAGATAAGAATTAGCCTGTTAAAATAGCGGTTGATGATGCAAATCTCATCACCCACGGCCAAACGATCGGAAGCAAATTTGATCAGAACACAAGGGAAATGGCGAGGCAGGTAGAAAGTTGTCTTTGCTCGCGTCTGTGGAGAAACAGAGACACCGCCGGCGAAGCTGATCAGAATATACAATACAGCTACCGGCAGATCTCACCAGAACAGAAGAGCGTGGGGTACGGTGGCTGAGATATTGTCAAAGATTACAATTTGAAAACCTAGGAATTGGTATTATGATATATACATGCAACATTGACATTATAATATACACACCAGTTGCGAATCAAAGGGATACACCAGTTGCGACTGGATTTGATCCAACGCCCCAAACCAAAACGATCTTACACAGCTTTAGATTCTTACTTTGGCAAGTACAAAACCCATACCACTGTTCCTCTATCGGATGTCTCAAATTAATTAGGCAAAAATATAATGTAAATTCCTGAACTATTTTAAAATTATAGTAAACTCCCTTGGATTATTCTTATTACATATCAAACACTAATCTATCAAAAAGTTACAATATGACCCCATCCAGTGACTAGTTGTCAATTTTTGAGGGTCAAAATTACTTATTTACCCTCACTTATTTATTTATTGTAAAAGCTATTAGATATTAGAATTGAAAAATACCAATAATACCCTTCATGAAGGCATCTTGCAATTAAACAATAGGTTTTTTTTTTTTTTTTTTTTTTTACACTTTTGCCTAATAATAATAATAACAATACTAAAAGAGTAATAATAATAATAATAATAATATCAATAAGAATAGTAGTAATAGTAATAATAATAATAATATCAACGAGCCAATGACCTAGTGGTATCAACTTCTTACTTTTCAAAAATAAGTTAGGAGTTCAAGTCTCAAAAGAGACAAGTGTAGTTGAGTACCAACTAGAAAAATAATAATAATAATACTGTTAGTAGTTGTAACAACAACCAAATGATAATAATAATTTTTTTTTTGGGCACTTTTGCCTAATAATAATAATAATAATAATATAACTAATAGTAATATCAATAATAATAATAATAATAGTTGTAATAACAACAATAAAATAATAGTAGTTGGCGTCTTAGGTATTTTCTACTAAACTTCCGTGATCACCCTTTCCTTTAACATTTTTCAGGTCATGGAAATAATTTTGTTGATGACCGACCCTCACAAATATAATTAAGATTGACAGGAGCATCTTTCAATAATTTTGTAACTAATGCATAGTTAATGATGATCATTTGTATAGTATTATATTTAGGACCTTAAGGATCACAAAAGTGGTATCTATATTCAATTGGGATTGCTTTTGATGTATCTTGGGCATGTAATGATAACTAAACTTATTTATTATCAAAGTTGTAAGTTTGGGAACGAAGCAATGTTTAATAATGCATCCCGACCTTGTAAATCCAACGCATGACTTTGTTAATTGATCATTTATTCATGCTCGTTGGTTAGGACATGGGTACTATGGTCAAAATGACCAAATTGTTGCTCGGGGACAGGATCAGAGTCGAGAAAGGGGCAAAAAGACAATTTCTGGGCTCCTCCGAGGGTAATACTGTCATTTTGAAGGAACAGTATCAGAATACTAATTATTCTTATTCTATAATATAACATCAACTTGCTTATGTTAACATTCGGCCTTGCTTAGTTTATAACTTCAAGAACAGTTTTATGTTATAGAAAACTAAAAATAAAATACTGTACAAAAAAACTCTGTTTGGTTCAATTTTCTGAAAAATCAATTATAAAAGAAATCTATTTTCAAAAAACTATTTTCTGTTCTGAATTCTTGTTTTTAGAATTATAAATCAAACAAGTCCGAAACTTCTTAAAAGCGTGATGTTTGCTGTCGTAGCCAAAACAGTAATCATTTTTACTTTTAAGTTAAATATGTACTGATACTAGTCTTGCCTTCTAAAATTTTCATTGTTAGCGAGCAGTATAATCTTTTCTAACAATTAGGGGCACAAGGCAATTGATTCCCAACTTTATTGTGAATTCTGTTTCATGGTAATAAAATGTCCCGTGTTAATTTCAATATTTACTTCTTATTATGCAAATCCAGTTCCAATAACCATGCATTATACAAACCTTTTTAACAAACATTGCTAATGTAAAGTACTGATTTCGAAATTGAAGTTAAAAGTTACAAAACAATGAAACAAACACCCAATCAAAGTAAAATGTATTGTTGGTCAAACTGAGAGGAGTGTCTCAATGTATCGATGGATCCTACAGCTTTTATACCCCCCAAGCTGCTGCTGCGAAGAACCAGGATGGTGTACTACATCATGAAGCTTCTTAAATGTGTCATCCTTAATGTTATAGGAGATGATCATATTAGTGCCCACCAATAACACCAAAAACACATCTCCTTCATCTTTTCCATGAATTAAACCAAGCACAGACATTGTTTGCGGTGCGATCATCTCCTGTGATACAAAATTAAGCATCATGTTAAAGTTAAGTCGATACTTCAATGACCACTTGGAGTAATCTCTTTCCAGCTCTGAGACTTCAATATCAAATCTGGTGCCCAAAAAACTGCGCCCAGTAAGATACAAATAACCTCTAGACTCCCCGAAATGATCAATTTCCGGAAATGGTGAAGATGGCATTGGAAACAATCTTTCTTGATCAACATCAAAGTATTTGGAAGGTTCATCTGTCCAGAGGGAAATCCAATGTATTGAACCATTGCAATAGACTCCATTATCCAAGTCCACTGAGGGGAAAGAATAATGATCATCAGAGGGCGTCCCCCATGCATTGGTTTCTGACGAATAAACATGAATTTGATACAAACCATTGCCCTTGCGTAATCTCTTGAGTAATCTCTTGAGCAAAACAACTTTGTAATGAATTGATTTGGAAGGATCAAAAGCCAAATATAGAGGGTCGTCACGAGGATATGTAGCAAGGGAAAAGGGCCAGGGAAGTGTTTGGGATTGCTTGGTAGTAGGATTGTAAACTTGGTAAGATCGGGGCATATAGTTTGGTTCTGAACACAAGAGTAGAAAACCATTGCAGGCGTCTATGATTGTAATATCCACAGTATACATATTGGGAAACCGAGCTAAAGACTTGCTTTTCCCAACATCATCTGTGTCTTTGAGAGGAATGTATTTGATTTGCTTCCGGGATACAGAGGTGAAGAAAAGACCGGAGATTTTGGGATCATGGAAATGTCGTTGACGCTTTTGCCAGAGGAGAGGGAAAGTAGGACCGGAGATTAGAGAGAACCATGTTTTCGAGACCGACTTGAATCGAACCACAGATTTCAGCGGCAGAAGCACAAGGATCTCCACCACCAGGTCCTCGTTACTGCCAATGATTTCAGCAGCGGCAGACTGTCTCTGTGCATTCCGGCACCTTTTAATCCCAAAACCCATCAACAAAGTTGAATTCACTTCAGAATTGTTCCTCTCTTTGGATGGTTCTAATTAAAGACTTATATAGGTAAAATAACACAACCTAAAAATAAAAATAAATTTATTTAAAATATCAACACAATAAATAATTATTTGTATTTGAATAACAAAGATAAGATTTAGCCTATTAGAATAGCGGTTGATGATGCAAACCTCATCAAACAGAGACACCGACTGCCAAGACGATCGGAAGCAGATCTGCGGGGAAACGGCGAGACAGGTCGACTAGCGTCTGTGGAGAAACAGAGACACCGCCGGCGAATCTGATCGGAATAGACAATCGGTATGTATAAAAAACCGGCACCGGCAGATTTGATCAGAACACATTTGAAACGGCGAGACAGGTAGAACACAATTGAAACTAGAAAGTTGCGATCTTTGCCCTCAAGTCTGTGGAGAAACAGAGAGAACCCCGGCGAAGCTGATCGGAATAAACAATCGGTAAGTATAAAACCGGCAGATCTGTTCAGAACAGCAAACGGCGAAAAAGGTAGAAAGTTGTGGTCTTTGCTCGTGTCTGTGGAGAAACAGAGAGAACGCCGGCGAAGATGATCGGAACACACAATACAGCAACCGGCAGATTTGACCAGAACAGAACAGCGTGGGGGTGGGTGGTGGCTGAGATGTTGTCGAAGATTACAATTTGAAAACCTATATGAATTGGTGTTATGATATATACACGTCAGCTGCGAATCTAAGGGATACACCAGTTGCGAATCACAAGGGAGGGAGCCACTGGATTCGATCCAACGGCCCAAAAACAAAACCATCTCCGCACAACTTTCCTCGGTTTGTCGCATACCACTGGATTAGTAGATTCCAGTTTTGGCAAGTGCAAAACTCAACTTTCCTCAGTTTATCAACTGTATGTCTCAAATTAATAGGCAAAAATATAAAGAAACGCCCTAAAGTTACAATGTGACCCATTGGGTGACCGGACGTCAATTTGTGTTTATCATATGGTCAAAATTACTTATTTATCCTCACCAATTTATTTATTGTAAAAGTTATAAGATATCATATTTGTAAAATATCAATAATGCACTTCGCGACTGCGTCTTGCAATTAAGCTATAGTTCATATTATTTATTTTTTGTGCAATTTATAGTTCATATTATTTATTTTTTGCACTTTTGCCTAATAATAATAATAACAATACTAAAAATAATAATAATAATAATTATAACAATATATATATATATATATATATATATATATATATATAAGAATAATAGTAGCGGTACTAATAATAATAGGGTCAAGTACAAAAAACACCTTGAAGTATGCTTATAGTGCATATTGCACCATTTTTGTGCAAAAAACACCCCTAAACTATGACATTTATGCAAATAGGTCCTCCTTACACATTTAGGATAAAATTGGACTAAAATGCCCTTAGTGACACATTTTATAAAATATATAAAAAATAATAATATGATGAGAAACGACTAAAAAGGTACCCAAAACCCATCTTCTTCAACTACAATACAGTGAAGAGAAAAAAAAATCCCAGGAATATCCATGTACAGAGCACTGTAAGAATAAGAATCGTTTTCGGTGCTGGTGAATGGGTTGGAGGACCACACGGACTGTTTAAACTCCATCTCTTTATATATATATATATATATATATATATATATATATATATATATATATATATATCAATTGGTTTAATTGAGGAGATGAGGAGATGAGTCCCATTTGGATATATATCAATTGGTTTAATTGAGGAGATGTTTAATTGAGGAGATGAGGAGATAAGTCCCATTTGGATATATATCAATTGGTTTAATTGAGGAGATGAGTCCTATTTGTAAATTAATTGATATATATATGAATTGGTTTAATCATCCTCTTCGCTGCTCTTTGCCGCCGCCACTGCCCTCTGCACCGCTATTCTCTGCCACCGCCACTTCCCTCTACCATGCCGTTGTTCTCTACCGCCGCCGCTGCCCTCTACCACGTCGTTATTCTCTGCCGCTGCCGTTGCCCTCTATCGCGTCATTGTTCTCTGTTTTCTCTACGTTGTCAACACCACCAAGGCACACAGACACCGCTTGTGATACCCCTCGATTCTAGAGCCACGGGTGATCAACACAGATCCGAGGGATACCAAACAATTAAGTATATAAACAAGCATAGAATACAAGAAAAATTAAAGAATAAATAATAATTAAGCTGAAAGAAACTAAATAATAAATTCATAACTTAGTAAATAAATCATCCTCTAAATAGAATAATTCAAAACCTCCGATATCATTACAACTGGGGAATCCATCTAGTGGACCCCTAATAATATCGCAACTGGACAAAAAACTAAACTGTAATGAAAACCCAAACTAAAACATAAAGAAGAGTCTTACGTAGTCGGAAAAGTGAATAACTGTCTCTGCTCAACACGAATAATCTCTAAGATTGGAACTGTCGAACACCTAAAAAAAAATAGTGGGTCAGGCCCACGAACAAGTTCTACTCTACTACAATCCAAATAGAGACCCGATACACGTATACATCCTAGTTAACTCAACAATAGCTAAATCGTCCATACATATATATACACACTATAGGATGCTCACTGGACTATAAGTCTGCCTCAACTTGAATAGAAGGTAACATGCAAATCGCACATGAAGTGGGTATGAGTACCTAGACCTACTAGGGCACATAGATGTCTACTATATCCAATTATCCAACTTAGGCAATATATACACCTAAACCATGATCCTGAGACTCAAGCTCATATCATGACACCATAATCATATATAATAAGTCCGTATAAGCATAAGATAAAAATGTCATCCATCTGATACAGTAGCCTAACATAAATAAGGAGGACTTAACTCTATGGTTAATCCATTCCCTTATATATCCAAGTAGGTAGGACTTAATTTTTATTAGTTAATCCATCCCTAAGATGCCACCATCCCATACTGGTGCATCACATCTATACAGTCCAATAATTAATGAAATAATTAAAATAAAACATCAATTAATTCCAGAAACAAGCATAATAAAAATAAGATAAGAACATGATCTTATTATACTGTCAATGCATGATTAAAATCATATATCATCAATTTAAATTGCTAGAATAATACTAGGCAATTAAACCATCCATTAATAACATGTAAATTTAATTAAAATTTCACATTGTTCATCGTTCCATAGCATATAATTATTAATTATGCTTTCTAGTTATTTAACATGCTCATTGTAATCATTTAAATTACCCATACCTACATAGCCCTGGAATATCCTAAACTTCAAAACAGTAGCTAAAAATCCCAAAATATTAAAGTAACAGCTATGGAGCAAGCTCTTAAATCAGGGAGCAAGCTCTGTCCTCTTGGGAGCAAGCTCTCGACCTGAGGGAGCAGGCTCCCAACTCCATGGAGCCGGCTCTCTTCCTGAGAGTCGTCAAATTTCAGTAGGGAGCAGGCTCTCACCCCTTGGGAGCCAGCTCTCGACCTGCTCTGCACCTTCTTCCTCGCTTCCGACGAGTTTCAACCATTCTGTTCTCTATTGATAATGATTCTAAGAGTCTAAACTATATCCTGAATCATTCCAGTAATTTATATAAATCAATTATGCATTATTAACAATAATCAAAACAATTAAATCATGCCATATACTTCAAGATCAATCAACTGTAAACAAATTCACATAACCTTGTTTTAGATTAGAATAAGCATGAATAAAAGATTAAATTTAAAGTCTGATTAATTCCTGGAATTAAACTAGGCCTGTATAGAAACACGAAGTTTAAGGGAAGGAGTAAGAGAAGAACTTGCCTCAAGTTTCAGATTGAAACTTAATCTTCTTTTTCCTAGATTTTTCGGCGAACTCTGATTGCTGTTAAGCCTCCTACTGCTCTGGTTCTAACCCATAAACAAACCCACTTCCTTCCTCCTTGGTCCAGCCCCTTCTTGGTCGAAACTCTCTCCATCTTCTTTCTGTTAATTCTCTCTCCTTTATATAATACGTGATATGCTTATATCCTCCTACAGACCTTAAGGATTATATATCGGCTTTGCTACTACCATAATCCTAGTCATGCCTTTTGTCTGCTAACTTAAGGGAAAAAAAAGAAGAAGAATAAATTAAAAATAAAAGAATAAATAGATATAAGTCTGTACGTGATGAAAAAACATATATATATATATATAAAATTAACGTATAACTATATATACATATATACACACACATAACTAACTATAATTATTAATATTAATCATTTAAAATATTAATAAATATAATATCCATAAATATGCATATATACCCATATATATGTGTACTACATCCCATGGGTAATTATCCATACCTAATAATAATCCTATCCAAATAGTCCATGCGACCCATTGGATGGTCCATTACTACTAACCATAGCCCAACTCCTTTTTATATAAAACATAAAATAAAACATTTAAATCCTAACAATTAAGCTACACATAATAAACATCATCAAATAATAAATAATTCAATTAAAGCATTTAAATTCAAATTAATCAAATAAGCCTACAAATTATATTTAACCACTTAATTAAATTAAATAAATAAACAATTAATCAATTAATCAATTAAATAATTAAAAAATACAAATAAAACAAATAAATAAATGCTGAGACTATCCTTTTAAAATTAGGGGTATTACATTCTTCCCCCCTAACAAAAGGAATTCCATCCTCGGAATTCGCCCTTATTTTCATCCATTATTTCTGAAAAGTGTGAGCAAATGACATCTTCACGTTCCCACGTGGACTTAGCCTCATTGTGGTGACTCCACTGGACACGTATTAATGGTATGACCTTGTTGCGAAGAATTTGATCCCTACGGTCTACAATACGATACGGTGGCTCCATATATATTGCATCCGACTACAATTGAATCTCACCAACATCAATATGTTGATAATGATCAGTATCTCGCAAAAATTTCCGTAACATGGAAACATGAAACACATTATGGATACGATCCAAATTGTCCAGAAGTGCTAAACGATAAGCTACTGCTCCAATTCGATCTGTAATCATAAAAGGACTGACAAAACATGGTGACAACTTCCATTTCTTCCCAAAGCGCATTACTCCTTTCATAGGAAATACTTTGACTAAAACTTGATTTCCTACTTGAAACTACAAAGTACGAGTACGACAATCTGCAGAGCTCTTCTGCCTACTCCGGGCAGTGCGCATGTGATCTTTAATAAGAGCAATCTTTTTTGAGGTATCCTTAATGAATTCAGGACCCAAAAGTTTACCCTCTCTAACCTCTATCCAACAAACAGGATATCGATACGGTCGGCCATATAATGCCTCAAACGGTGCCACACCAATAGTCTTCTGAAAACTATTGTTATATGCAAACTCTACAAGTAGTAAATAATCCTCCCAGTGACCTTTAAAGTCAAGGACACACGAACGAAGTATATCCTCCATGATCTGATTAACCATCTCGGTCTGTCCATTTGTCTGAGGATGATAAGCATTGCTAAGATGCAACTCGGTACCCAAAGCCTGCTGAAAACTCTTCCAAAACCCTGACACAAAGCTTGAATCCTTGTCTGATATAATAGATAACGGAATGCCATGCAACTTCACAATCTCTGTAATGTAAGTCTCGCCAGCTGTTCCGAAGTGAAATTAGTGCGAATAGGCAAGAAATAAGCTGATTTAGTCAACCTATCAACGATGACCCAGATGGAATTGTGATCTTTAAATGAATTACGCAATCCCTCCACAAAATCCATAGAAATACTCTCCCATTTCCACTCTGGTATAGGTAGTGACTGTAGAGAACCTGGCGGCTTCTGATGATCAATCTTGACCATCTAACAAGTACT